GGGTTTGCAAGCCTAGAGGAAGGAAATCCCCACCTCCAAGGAGGCTCTTCTCCCAATATAACGGGTGTGTTGTGTGATTGAATGATTGACATTCCCTGAGAGTCGTGCCTGGCAACATTGTCACAGGCGCAGACTGGGCTCTGAGCTCCTCCAGAGCAATGGTACCTTCCCTTGGGTCAGGCAGAGCCCTCCGGCCGGGACGGACGGGAGAATGAAAACCGATCCCCGGCGGTCTCTGCCGGTGAGGCCATCTTGCAGGGAAACAGCACTGGGGACGACCAGAAGGAGGGGACGAGGCCACAGGGCGCAGACGGCGCGACCGAGGCGGGCCGGTTCCCCGGGGGCGGCGACGGGGGCGCGGAGGGTCTCACCTTTCCCGTTTTCGGAGCTGGAGCAGCTCTTGGATTTGCAGATGTACAGGAGCCCCATGGACATGAGACGAGCCGACGTGTAGATTCTCGCGCTGACGTTGGTGGGCCAGCGCTGGTAGACGCGGCTCCCGGAGAGGCACAGCCACTTCTTGGAGAACACCATGGCCAGCAGCAGGATGAAGGCGACGAGGCTGAGCTCGGAGGCCAGCACCCGCGCTACCCAGCGGGAGCTGTGCGTCATCCTCCACCACAGGGGCAGCACGGAGATTCTCCGGGGCTCCGAGGGGTGCTCCCCGGGCACCTGCCTGTCACCGCTGGGGTCAGCCGGCCAGCTCTCTTCTTGGGCCAGGCTCCCCTCCGCCCGGTCCTGCTTCCCAGCCCCCGCTTCCCTCGCCAGGGTTTGGATGCTCATCCGTTTTTCCTACCGGCCCGGGAAATCCAGCCCTAAAGGCCCCTGCCCCCATCCTGAGCACTCCCTGTCTCTCCCCCTAACCTCCACCCCATCTCCACCTTCCCTTGCTGGGCTCAGTGGCCCCTCATCCTTTAAATATTTGTAGCAGGCAGAGTCCTTGCCACCACAGGGCCTGGGGTCTGGGAAAGAAACAACCTATTCAGTAGGACCGGGCCCCTAACTGCCATGGAACTTTCCAATATTCCGGGG